GACCACGGGAACAAAGACGTCTCCGTTTGTGGGGGCACCAATGGTTCGTGTGCAGAGCCGAATATTCAAAGCATAAAAATTCAAGATCCAATAGAGCTCCGACTCGCTTTGCTAATATCGGCCTTGCACTACTCGTGGAAGACGAAAGAAAGTTGGTCCTTTCAGCCCACCTATCTCTTTCACAAGATAGAGTGCATTGGCCTGGCAAACGCCCACCTCAAAAGCCTCAAAACAACCAACTTGGCTGTAACGGTGCGTCTGATATCCACTCTTTGTATCTTCGATGTAAGTTTGGCATTTCTACCTATATCCCCTGCGTGACAGAAGTTACTGCTCACACCATCGTGCGAAGAGCAGCTTCGGCAACTTGGATGCCGCAAGGGCTCATTTTGATGGGCTGATGGCAGTCCTAGGCCTCATAGAAGCGCAAGATGGTAGTTTCAGCGTACGACGAGTTAATCATGATGATCTCATTGCTCGATACATTGCATTGTAAGTTTTACGCCCATGTGCGTGCAATAGGTACCTAACCTTTCGCTCATCGACTTTTCCACAACTAGGGCACACGAATTTGTATACACCGCAACTGGCTATTTGCACCAGCGAGTTACGGAATTGACACAGTTTATGGGATCCATTCCCAGTAGTAAGCCTAGGGATACAGGTATTCGCTTAGACGGTCTGAGGTTGATCCCTTATTTCACCGGTAACCCAAGACAGGCGAAAAACATACTAGAGCACGCCAATCTCTCCTCTGATCTCGTGCCGCTCAAGGTACTGACACCCCTGGCCCGTGAGAGATTCTGCAGTCGGCTTTGCTATTTTATGGACGAATTTCTCTACGGAAACGACCCTCCCAGCTTGCCCGCTGACTGCCTCACAAGCATCAAACAATCCGTGTTAGAGGCCACCAAGTCGGAATTGCGGGCTACATATAACATCGGGATAAGGTCACTCGGCAGTTTTTTCTGGTCAAGTATCGCGCCCGCCGGCTCCATGTTTGTCAATAATGTCGAGGCCGATTTACCCGCAAATGACTGTCATGTGTACAGTCAGCTCTATCTCCGGTTGACAAGGGACATCGACAGTACAGAGGGTATAATGAGGGCTGGGACAGAGAGTCATAAGATATGGCTCTGGAAGGTCTTCACGGGCGCATATACTATCGCTAAGACGCAGCTAGCCGTCGAAGCTGCTAGTGGTCGAGTAGAAGACGACAGCAGCCCCTTTCAGATGTTGCGTCTTTGGTTTGGCCAGCGCATCCTAAGCTGGAGCCGAAGAGCGCATGTTGTAGACTGGAAAGACGCGAAGGAGGCATTATCGGCTGTCAGCTGGCCGGAGGACTCTGCTGGAGCGGGACTTTCTGAAAAGCTCTGGCAAGAGGCTGTCTGGGGCAATACGAACAAACAGCGTTTTGACATTGAGGCTCTTCTTGCCCGCTAATGTCAAACATAGTGAGACGGGTATAGCAAGTAAAATAAGGAATTGCTTAGATCTACTAGGATTTATTTATTACTAACTTCCATCCCAGAATATACCGTTGCTCGAAGGGATATCCTAACAAATATTGGTGCAAACTCTACATACCCTCTATATCGTCCACCAATGAAGTCTTTGCTCGTTCAAGATCTATAGTTATGCGCTAGAATTGCACGCAAAATACATCGCTTTTATGTACTTATTATCCAGCCTCTTCAGGCAGCTACATCAGTGGTAGAGTTTCGAAGAGTGGCCCCATCGCTCAGCTAAGCTGTAGGTGCCATTGACTGCACATGTTTGGGGACCAACGGGCTCACAGAATGAGGCAAGCGTAGCTAAGGTTTTCTCCTGAAGCAAAAGAATTAAAATTAGAGATACTCATAACGGATGGATTTGTTGTGACTTACTGCCAAAGTCAGGCTCCAAAGGTTCTTATACGAACTGCCCATCTTCTTTCTCAAGTCTAACGAGAGGGACGTGCTGAGGCCAACAGAGCCAGAAATGGCATTTGAGTACTTTTTGCAAGCATTGCACGTCAAAGCTGTGTGAAGGATATCAGCTTCTATACTTGTAGGATATATTGGACTAGGAGAGCTTACACGAAATAGCCTGCAATGTCGCCGAGAGTTTGGGTAAAGCAGCTGACAGCTGAGCTGCAAATCCAGTCTCTACAAGTCGAATGGAATTATTAGTCTCCGTAAACCACACTGTTCATTCGTTTGATTTGCACTCACCAAGAGCAGTCAACTCTAGCCCCACGGAAGCCGTCAAGGCTGCAGAAGCTCCTGCCTCAATAGAGGCATCAGCCTCCAACGGCGATGGACTCATCTGCACGTCCCATCCTGTTGACGTGGTTTTGTCCTCGGCCAAGAAGTCAAGCGTGGATTTTGAAGCAGGAATAGAAGCTGTACCGCCCATTGTAAGCTTGACGGCTCCTTTGATAGCGGAGATCCCGGCATCAAGAGAGATGGCAACCGTAGGACCAATGGTGAGAATGCCAGGAATAGAGACCCCGCCCGGGGACAGCTTAAGAAGAGACAAGCTCTTCTGAACGAGTGCATCAGTGAGATCACCTTTCAAGCCTAGCTGAATAATGGTCGTGACATCTATTCCTTCTGTGTTCAACTCAATGACAGCCTCTTTGAGTTTGAAAAACTTGACACGGAATCTTCCCTCGATGTTGAACGTGCCAGAGGTTGAACAGTTGGAGCACGTGCCCGAGATGGTGAGTCCATCATCTACGGGGAAACTGAGGCTCTTTCCAGAGAGATCGTGCTCGAAAGGGATCGAAACATCAGGGTTGTATTCCCCTTTCAAAGCATCTCCAATGTCGCTGAAGACATCGCCAATTGAGTCAAAGAGTCCGCGCCTAACAGTCGTCCTTTGAGCCTGAGCGCTTTGCACAGCAGACTTGCCGATATGGAGCTCAAAGGTGTGAAGAGCATCCTTCCAGCTGATCGATCTGCCACGGAGAAATGCAGTATTTGTCGGATCGTCGAAGCCAATGTCATTGATCTGGTAAAGAATGCGGTCCTCGTTCCAACCGCAGTCTCCAGCGCCAACCATCAGCACAAACTGACGCTCCTCATCCTGCTTGACCCATTTCCAGATATCCGCAGCGTCATCAAAGTCCAGCTTCTCTGAGAATCGAACAGCCACCTGCTCTGTCCCATTCACTCCTGTGCTGCTGTTACCATTGGGGCAATCCATCGATTCGACCAGATCACTCCAGTACTCCGTATCAACAAGACCCTCCTTTGCGCCGGACATGTCTACCTTGAGCTCAGTGACCGTACCATCGGACCCAGCCCAGTAAAGGTAGTCTTCGCTGAGAACCTCGAAGGCGCTCATGCCATCTCGTGCTGACTTGCGGCCGCGACTCGGTCGGAGGGGTTTTAGGACGATGGACTCGGTAGCGCTTCGGATGACAGGGCCAGTGCTGTCGCCGCTGAGGGATACTAGTTCATGGGCCAACTTGTGTGAATGGCTGCCGTGAGCACGGTGGTGAAGGGGTTTCGCGGTCGCAAAGCTGCCAAAGAACAGGACGCTGCATATCAAACTTGCAACGCGGGCCATGGTGTCGACTGGTCAAGAGCACTGTATAATCAAAAGGGAGTGTATGAAGGAAAATTGCAATGAATTAAAAGAGGGTGGTAACGAGGATCAGATAACTATCCAGTAGTTTGAAATCATTGACTTCCTTCTTTACAAAAGAGTGGCAGTGGTAGGTTGGTCTACCTCGCTGGGTGCTCCGATTGGATGCCAAGCAGTCATCATCGGTGAAATGAATGGGCGATACTGTACATTAAATACAGAGAAGACAAATCAGGCATCTTCAGACAGCCTTATCGAACGTGGTTCTTCCTTGCCTTCCTAATGGAGGCTGCTCCAAAGGGTGGCTCGAACGCCCCAATCATGGCGTTACTCTGATTCCTTTGCTGGAGTGCTTGCCATGGTTTGCCTCACGGCGACATCCTTGCAAACCCCTAGGCTAACACGCATTTAGAAGGTGTTGTCACAACAGCGCACCGAATAAGAAGTTGACAATGCTTTCCAGCAGTCTGATTGGCTGACCAAGGGGTTGAAACCCCCCTTTCATTCAGCCGCTGTGCCCGGCAGTTCTCAGCTTCTGAAAGAAGTATTCCAGAAGAAAAACATCACACGGATGTTCCGTCGTGATGCGTAATGATATGCACCACCCCTTGGCGATTAAAGTGGGATTTATGATGCTGAAACCGGCTGCAGTGGAGGCTGGGAATGATGCCCTTAAAAAAGACTATTGCTACCACTGTGGTAGCCCGTCCTAAAACAAGTCATGATTAGTTAAGAAAGGGGGCTGACGGTGGTCAACGCTCACATCGTTCAAGTTTCTCGCTGATAAGCCTGGGACATAATGTGGCCATCCCCCCAAAAGTTTTCACCTTTCGGGCAACGAGATAGTGGCTACACAATGTCTGATTTAGAGAAATATATGTTCCAGAAAAAAAAAGTCAGTGGTCAAGAAAGCTCAGCTCTGGATGAAATAGTATTAATCAATTCATAATCCATGGCGAATTGTATGATGCACAACAGTGTTATTAGGTATTCTCGACTGAATTTAGCTAAAGAAATATCCAGAGAGGAGACGGCGGGTCGAGCGAGTTTGCGTGGTTGGTCCGTGTAGCATGAGATCAAACCGCCACCTCCTTGACCGGGATTCTTGAGTACCAGCTTCGTAGTATGGTTTATAAAATTGGGTTAGCTTTGCCACATGGCCGATAACACATTTACCATCACGCATGTCTGCGATGAGATTGAAGGTTAGGACTTGAATCTCCCTTGGTAGCAACATTGTTCCTTAGAAAGACTCTACACTTGGAACAGCTCTGCAATTCAAGGGTGGAAGTACCTGAAGGTGGTCTTCCTAGTTGCAATATCATCAATTTAGATCCTTGAGAGAGCGACTGTAGGACGCAAGAAGTGTGACACCTTTATTTTAGATAGTAACGGAACTCTGGTTCTCTTCTTGTTTGCATTAACATCTACCGTGAGTCGAGTGTGCCAACCAAATCCTCCCAAAATTGAAAATCTAGGGGCTCAGGGAAGTTGCGTGTGGGCCCAAACCAGCTATCTAGCCAAGTCTCTCCTTGATCAACCCCGTTGCCCGTATGCTCAATACCAGGAAGGCTGCCCTGAGCAGCTATGGGAACCCCCATCTGAGTTCTCGCACTCGCCATACCTAGATGTGTGCCTCCCATTTCTCCGGAACTAGGTCCCATGAGAGTCGATGGTTGAGGGAATGGCCCCGTACGCTGCAAGGTTGGAAACTCTTCGCTTGATCTCCCCAATGGCTCTACCTGTTGGTGATTTAAACTATGGGGTTGGCCTTCTCGGTTCGTTTTCCTCGCGGTCGCGATACACAGCTCTATGACTTTCACCTCGGCCAGTGCAAACTGTTTTACCCATATATCTGCCCGTTGCTTCTCGCAGTAGGCAGCTAGGTCCTCCAAGATGCCGCGCGTTCTAAGCGAGTGCGGATCTCGCACAGCAATGACGCCTAGAACCAAAGCACTGTTGAAGAGGTTGTGCATCGCTCCTCCAGCTTTTAGACGATCGGCCATTGATGTTGGGCGGAATGTTAATTTGAGGCGCAGATCGGCGCAGGCAGATGAGATACAGGCGTCGCGAGAATACTGGAAGCGACCCGTGATGGATTCGAGAAGGACATAGCTGCGGTGAAGGGTGACTCGAGCGAAGTGATATAAGGAGTGAAGATACATTCGCTGCCACAAGAGAAACGGATGTGTAGCGTCGAGGGAAGTGTCAGTTTGCTCGATACGAAAGTAAGGGGGGAGGGAGTCAGCCCAGTCTAGGAGAACGCGATCTAGTTGCAGCACCTTCTCATAAGTGCTATACGATGTTGTCGAGGGCTCAAGGCTGAAACAGTCGTCATGAATGTCGCCTAGAATTGTGGACATGCGCTGTTGATACGAGTAGTATATGGTCCTTGTCGGGTCGCTCAGAGGTTTCTCGATGGCTGCGGCGGCTTCTTCGTTGGACATGTCATCGATCCAGATATTCCGGATCTTCATGAGCATACAGTGCTTGCTGTTGATTGTGTATGGGCGCCCGGTTGTTAATGAGAGCGACCGATCCAACGAGAATAAGATACACCATAACCGCCTTCTTGTCTCTAGAACTTTGGGTGGTAGACGCCAACTCTCACCGTCGAGATGCATTCCTTGCGCCTGGGCCATCCGGATGGCAAAACTTGATGTAAGCCAACTCTCGGTCTTCCGCCCGAAGAATATAAGATAGCGGCTCACGAGAATCCCTGCTCGAACTAGGTCGGGGCTCTCACCGGAGATAGTCGGCGCCAGTACAATGGCTTTGCGCGATGCCCAGAAGAACTGTACCGAAGATTCTTCACACGCTCTCTGGCCGTCTACAGTAGTATCCAACGGGCAGTCTAGCAACTCAGCAAACGCCAACATCATAAATAAAAGCGCCAGCCATCGCAGATCAACGGCGGTCAAGTCATCATCGCCCCATTTCCGATCCCAAAACGCATCGTAACTGACTTGGAACGTCTCCTTATGCACACTGTCATAGACGGGGTTCAGTTCATCAAAGAACCTGTTCACGAGATGATCGACAACTGTCTTTCGCCGCGGAAGACAACCAACTAGCTCCCATATGTGGGCGTAGGGCTCCTTGCCGCCATGATGGACAAGGTTATCAGGAGGGCGGCTCCGTGAGGCGGTATGTGCATGGATGCTGTTCATGCCTGCAGGGAGTTCGGGGCTCTCAATCTGCACCAGAGAGGCTGCAGATTGGTGGCCGAAGTAGCTGCTCCCATGGTAGGAGGCTGCACCGCGTGAATTCCAGAGGTGGCCGATACGTGGAGAGCTAAAGCCCTGTTGAGTCGCTGATGGGGTAGCTGGTAGAGGGGGATGGGATGGTGCTCTGGGAGGACTCGGATGGCTCGTGTAGCCACCGGCTGACGGAGTTTCTGCTGTGCTGGATATCGAAGCCCTGTTGCCAAGAACCCCGTGATGAGGTTGGCCAGGGCGGCAGAGGTTTGGTATCCTGCGTCGGATACAGGTTGAGCAGGGCGTCTGCCTATCGCACTAGATAGAGGCGGAATCGCTCAGTATCACTAATCAACCAGCATCAGAAGCAGATAGGGACTGCTCCTGGGACTATGACATCAAATCGCAGGGGGACCAACCTTGCGCCTCAAGCGGCGACATTGCGTGCAGACGTTACTGCGTGAATTCCTCGATTGAGACATTGGGGGCGATGTCAGCACCTCATGGGCGGTGAGACTCTCATGTTCCATCATCATTCGTCCGCGGGATGCCGGTTCCTGTTATCGCCCCGAGTGGTATTGGTGATGGCAACCGTATCAGTTGCAGAGAAGGGAGGGTGAGCGGCGATTGTGGCGGCGACGGGAGCGGAGAAGATGTGCGAGTCGGAGAATCATCGCCGCATGTGACGGGGACCCTTGTCCGCCTCTGGTCCACTCACTCACTTGGGCTTGACTCGAGCTGTATGGTGCCCTTGGTAGACATTTCTAGTGTCTCTCCTACAAATCCAATGGTTATGAATGCATCGACGATCACAACTGATGCGGTTTGTGATGCGACATAAGATCAGCTGAACGAAGTAGCCGGCAAGCAGGGATTTCCAGTACGCAGTAATCACATAGTTCACTTATTTAGGCAAATGTTTGTTAGTGGGATATTAGGCTGAAGCTACATAACTGGGCAAAATTGCTTAGTTCACTGGAGGCAGTAATGTTATATTTTGTGAAGTCTAGAAATTAAGAAGTGTAAATACGTGTCCCGATATCAACCCAACAGATGAACTTCCGGGGACCACTTCACAGCGCGTATCGGTAGTCTGGGTGGAAGTCTCCCGCCGCCCCCTTTTCAATGGCCTGGGCCCGTTCCTCCTCTGTCATCGCTTCTCGCTTTCGGTTCTGGTGCCTCAAGTAAAAGTACAGAGAGGTATGCCCAAGAACAGCAAGCATGACGGCTGCAAGAGAACCACTCAATCCCATGACGTACTTTCCGTTCTGTGTTGTCTTGAATATTTGTCCCACCTATCATCGATAATTAGCTTTTGTGTAATACACATGATGCCCAAAGTAGGTACTCACCACAACGCCTGCCGAGTTTCCAATGGACTGGTTCATTCCTATAGCCATGGCTCGCTTGTAGTAAGGTGCGTGGCTGTTCAGAAGCCAGGCGCAGTTCAGCCCGACAATCATATAAACACCCGGAGCGATGAGAAAGGTTGAGAAGTAGAGTACACCACGCTGACTGGTGGGCACACCTAAGTTTACGGCGTACCCGATGGCGGTCACGAAACAGGCTGGGATCATGAAGAAAGCTCTGCGTTGCCAGCGATCAGACATCCATGAAATCACAATGTACGCGCACGAAGCCCAGAAGAAAACGGGGATTGTCAAAAGCTGGGTCGTGACGGTATCGTAGCCAAAAGATTTGATGATCAGCGGCAGAAACGAGGACAGACCAAACGAGCAAATGTCAGCCATGAACTGACTCCAGCAGCTGATGTAGAGCTTTGGGTCCAACACTGCCCTCTTAACTTCTGCCCAGTCAAAGTCGGGTCGGCCGTTGTATCGAGCATTAATCTCGGCCCGAACTCGCATCATCTGCTTCTCTTCCTCGTTCAAAAATCGGGCATGCTCAAAGTCGTCTGGGAGGAGGAAGAAGATGGCGATAGCAATCACAACGCTTGCGCATCCCTCGATAATGAAGAGCCAGCGCCAGCCTTGAAGACCGCCGATACCGTCCATTTTTAGTAGTGCAAAGGCAAACAAGCCACCAAAAGAACCTGATAGCGCAGACGAAACGAACAGATAGGAGATGCGTAGAGCCTGCTCGCGTGGTTGGTAGAAGGTGCTGAGGTAGAGTGCGAGACACGGGAACATGCCTGATTCGAAGAGACCGAGGAGCAATCGAGAGGCATACAGCTGACCGACGTTGTGCATGAAGCCGGTCCCAATGAGAACAACGGACCAGCAGAACATGAGGAGAGGAATCATGCGGCCTGTGGTTGTTAGTATTGTATTATCTCTCGGCCGGAGGGGCGGACGGACTTGGATGAAACTTCTTGAGCACTAGGGAGCAGGGGACCTCTGCCGCAACATAGGTGACGTAGAACAATGTAACAGCATCTAATTCTTCTCGTTAGCTTGATGCCAGGGTCGCCCAAAGGGTCTTCCTATACTTGGCAACACAAATACTCACTTCCAAGTTCCCCATCGCTCATATTAATGTCAGTCTTCATGCCTGCAGAGGCTGCGTTGCCAATATTGGCTCGATCAAGGTACGCAGTCAGGAAGATGATGGTCATGACGGGCGCAATCCAAATGTCGAGTTTGCGCACCAACCTCCGCTCCACCTTGGGATCGAGAGCAAGCATCTGGCTAGCAGACGCAACATCGCTTTCGCCGCTAAAGACGTTTGCGTCCTTCTTTTCCATGATGAAGGGCCTGGCGAGATACTGAGAAAGTTGAGACGTTCTTCTGCAGCTCTGGTTGGTAGTACAGAAGAGGGATGTGATGCCGGTATGGTATGGTTGTATCGGGGCAACCGGTGAGCTTTAAGTAGCCATGCCAATGAGTCTGGGGTCTTTGCCGTCTGGGGTAATTTCCATGTGGTAATGATTCGATATGGGCCCTGTTCTGCAGAGTTTATGTTGGTGGAGAGAGCTGTCACGGCCGCACATCCATGACATGAGTCGCATCAGAGTCGTAGCGCCGATAAGATCAGCGGCGAGTCGCCTACTCTTTTCCCGCACACTGGGCGGCGGCGACTAGGCAATATCTGTGATATCTCCATGTCATGTTCTCATGAGTAAGTAAGTGCGGGTATTTGATAAGGGCGAGTTCCACCGCACTGGGACAGAAGAGGGCATCGCCGCCACTCAACGGCGACGAGGCGGCATATCTCTTAGCGTCGCCGCTCACATGTACCGTGCGCGCGACAGTGTCCGCAGCAACGGTGACACTGGGTCTCAGTCAAGTTGGATCCCTCTGGGGGCCTCGTGGGCGTATCGACGGGTCTCGGTACAAAAGGGAAACGGCCTCGGTGCCCTGCTTAAAGAAGTTGACTTTCCGTGCTGCGGTGGTATTTGATGCTTTTCTCTTCCTTTTCTCTTTTAAAAAGGGGACACTCTTTCACGATGGGCGAATCACCGGTAAGGACATTCGATGTCTCATTTATATGGGTCGATTCCATGTACTCATTTAGCTATTATAGGCGTGGAATCGCTTTATGCGCTTCGTTTCTACAGACAACCGAGAGCTTTGCGGAGAGCCTGAGGATACAAGTGTCGATGGTGAGTCCAATTTCAAGTTGAGACCTCAATGCTTGCCCTGACCAAATTATTCAGTTGGCCTGGCCATCGCCGCAAAGGAGGAGGTACGGGTCAAGGTCTTGGATGGTTCGTCTGCTTTATCAAGCGGCCCATGGACCGGAGAGGTTGCAGTTGTCAGAAAAGTAAGATTGTCCCCCAAATCATTTTGTGAGGATTGTCATTGAACAGTCTGCAGCTGCTGTCACCATTATCCGCACAAGAGGTTGGAACAATTCGTTGTATTGGGCTGAATTTTAAAGACCATGCGGTAAGTCAGATGCTTGATCCATCCAGACGAAATGCTGATTTGATCCAGGCCGAGCTGAAATGTCCGCTCCCTAGTGTACCTGAGGTGTTTTTCAAGCCTGCGCAGTGCATCAACAACCCCTTTGACCCAGTCGTTCTCCCCTCCAGTGCACCGGCAGCAATTGATGCAGAGGTGGAGCTGGCTGTGGTCATTGGAAAGGAGTGCAAAAACGTGGATAAATCTTCTGCATTGGACTACGTTCTTGGCTATACCATAGCCAATGACATTACGGCTCGGGACGTCCAGGCGAGAGTCTCGCAATGGGGTTACGCGAAAGGATATGACGGATTTTGCCCACTAGGACCTGTTCTTGTGAGCCCTAAGGCTCCTGGTTTGGATATAGAAAATCTGGACATGAAGACTAAGTTGGATGGTCATGTGCTACAAGACGGAACATCCTCGCAAATGATCTTTTCTGTCGCAGAGATCATTTCATACTTATCAAAGGTAACAGTCAGACCTAAAATACATCAAGGTCACTTACCTGTGGTGCTAATACGAATACTAGGATACCACATTACCAGCTGGAACCTTGATTCTGACGGGAACACCATCAGGGATTGGGCACAGCTACTCGCCACCAAGGTACTTGAGGGCAGGGTGTCATCAGCAAATCAGCATTAGTTCTGGCTGTGGAACGTTAATCAACCCAGTTGTCTCGGATGTAGCTGAACCTAAATTATAATTAGTCGATTTCAATTGATAGATATGCTACCGGCAACAGGTAGTCCTTGTGAGTTGGCTTATAATAATAGGTCAGTATCACCAGCGATCTCTTTCGCGAGTCTCGACACTACAGTCCTTGATAACTCTGCCTGAAGTTGATACCTTCGCGGATGTATACAATGGAAGAAAGGGAGTTAATTGAGAAGCTATGGTCAGGGCTGAGGAGTCACTTGCTGTATTCTTGCAAGGCTCGATATCTCGCTGCAGTAGGACCTAAGTATGGTTGAGACCACATAATCATTTGAACATCGTGAGTGTATCCCTTCTGTGATAGAAATTGTAGGCTTATATTTTGGAAACCTCAACTACTGGCGGGCTATCTATCGGGTTGGTTTCTTTAGGCTTTCACCCTCAAATTCAACAAGACTAGGAGAGGTAATGTGGCCTTAAAGTAGTAGATGTTTAATTCAAAGGTCCCAAATCCCTCACCGAAGATTTGTTGATCACATCCGTTTCTGAGGTTAGTCAAAACTGTCAGCTTATTTTAAGACGCCGTCAATCTGGGTTGAGATTTGAAAGAGGGGCGGAGCGCCCGCGACCCCTGAACGATCATTCTAAACGAGATTAACGAGGATGATAAGCGAGCTTAAACGACTTTTGGCATCGTTTGGGTAGCTCGTTTAGGCTCGTTCATGATATGCCATATTTTATTTCGTATTTACGTGCTTAGATTTAATAATAGCGGGCTTCATCTGTGTAGTAAGTGCATTTTAGAGGCTGAGCGAGATCAAAGCATTTGCTTCGCCATGATGGACTCGTATGCGCATGGAATTCTCATGAGCTGCGTAGGATATAAAGCTACCAATTCAACCGTCTAATTCTCTACCTACCAACAACGATCACAGCATCTCATTTTGGCCTCCTCTCACTTCAATTAAGCCTTTAGTTCATTTCACCGTATCTCTTTTCAAAAATGTCTTCTGACAAGATATCCTTCGAGCTGTTTAGATATGATCCATCTCTGGCTGCGGCAGTGACTTTTATCGCCCTCTTCCTTCTCGTCACGATTATTCACGCCTACCAGATGTTTCGCACTCGAACATGGTTCTTTACCCCATTTGTTATTGGAGGCTGTTGTATGTGCAATATCTCTACCAAGCTTGAATCCCACTAATATGAGCATTACAGGTCAGTGGATTGGGTACATTGGGGTATGCTTACCAAGTTTACCAACTCGTATAACAAGGACGCTGATCTGATCCTTCCTAGAGGGCCATATCAAGCACAGAGTCTCCGAATTGGACATTGCCACCTTACATTATCCAAACCATTCTACCCTTAGTGGCCCCGGCTTTGTACGCTGCCAGTATATATATGGTTTTAGGTCGAATAATTCTCGTCACGAATGGGGAAAAGTACTCGATTATCAAGAAGAAGTTTCTCACAAAAATATTTGTGGCCAGCGACATTGTCTCGTTTTTGCTACAAGGTGGTGGTAAGTATGGACCTTTAAGAGGTGGGACACTGCAGTTGACTCACTTTGACAGGCGGCGGCATCATGGCAAGCGCTACGGCTGAAGCCCTCGACACGGGCAGGAACATCATCATCGGGGGACTAGTGGTGCAGGTGGTGATATTTTCTGTCTTTGCCATCACAGCAGCTATCTTCCACTGGCGCATGCGAACCGGCCCAACTGAACTCGCCTACGAATTCAAATGGGAACTGCATCTGTGCGTTCTCTACAGTGCCTCGCTCCTCATTATGGTCCGATCAATTTTTCGCTTGATCGAGTACGTCGAGGGCAATGACGGCTATCTCATATCCCACGAGATCTTCCTCTACATTTTCGATAGCGCGCTCATGTTTGCTTGCATGGTCTTGCTTGCTTGGTACCACCCGAGCGAGATAAACGCGCTTCTAAAGGGAGGGGAAAGGAAAGCCGTTCGGAGGGTCTTTATGATTTACTCACCACTGAACTCTAGTACAAGCCTGGCCTAAGTAACAACTTGACTCGTTGGGGTCTGATCCAACTATCGGTGTAGTATGAAGTATGCATAAGGGGGTAAGGGATCCTTTAAAAGATTCTGCTGTGTTATAGGAAGGTGGATTGAAAGGATAGAATTACTACAATTCTTTGTCTTCTACAACATGCTTTGTCATATGAGCATGTTATAGCAGCGGGAGATTTGATGGTCTAGATTGTGTTATTGAAATGATAATCATTCATTTACTCTTACTACTAATAAAGAGCTTTTTCTTCAACGAAGTGACTCTTGTAATACGAGGGAGGTATGTCTTGAATTGGGCTGCTCGTACATTAGCAGCTCTAATAATGACAGGATTTATCACACCGTCTCATGGCACAAGATATCCGCTACATAGACTTATCTAGGTTCGTTCCTAAATGACGACCACCCTAACCTTTTCCATGGTGAATTTTAGATAACTCTAACTCAAGGACTAACAATTATAAAACCATGTATGATATCTGCATAATTTTTTCAACCGATGTCTCTAGCTCCCAACTGATAATTAATCTTATACTTTCGCCGCTTTTAGTCTTGCCCACTCAATATAAGGATCCCACTCTTGGTCAATCTTAAGAAGGGCTTCGGATAAATTTTGAATGAGAAGAACTCCAAAATCCCGTCCCCACCAATGCTCGTGAATTTCGAGCGTCAAAACGCCATAATAAATCCAAATGAGCAGAGCCATAGGATCGCTCTGCTTCAAGAGCGTAATGAGCTGATGAGGTGCCATGACTGGCCATGCGATTATCATGCCGTGCCTGCCCGAAAAGCCGATGACCTCTTCGAACGCAGTTTCTAGGCTGCGAATTCCAGCAGAATAAATTTCGTATGTCTGCGGCCCAACGTATTTAGATATAATACGTGCTCGCTCGTAGAGAGACGATATCGCTTCAGCCCTTGATTCTTGTTCACTTGGATCTGGCACCAGTTGGATGCCTCCGATAGGTGGTTCCAAGAGAACCTTGAAGGGGCCTTCTTTCAGACGTTGTTCCGAAGACTTTATCACGGTGACAACGCCCCGAAGCAGCTCGAAGATAGACACCAAATTCTCTGATGGATTCAAGTCCGAAGAAAACCCCGTCGAAGCGAGATTGATTATCATGATGAGGATTGAGAATGAGAATATTGCGTTGACATTGTCATCAGAGACATTTGACAGTGCTTCTTTGAAACCACGGATCCCTGAGTCTTGATACAACATTGCGGTTTTGATATGCTCAGAGCTCTGTAGAGGCTCGAGAGTGGCTAGATGAAGCGCAGCCACTGCCAGAATACCATCCGCCAGGTATTCATACTGCATAGCTTCGCGAGGGATTATGTCTCTAAAAAGCTCGTGATGCCCTGGTTTAAGAACCATAGTCTCGCAAGTTTTAGAGGTGTAGTGATGCATTAAATATAGTTCCCTTCCTCTTTTCGATTGTATCAGTGGTGCTTCGACCGAAAGGCTTCGGTGTTCGCTCCAGTCCTGTGCCGCCCCAGGCTCCGTGGTAAACGAGCAAGGTTCCCTGCGCTTAGAACACCTTGTACACAATGGCTTCGCTTCATCGCACTGTAGAGGTATAAAGTTAGTTTCCAGGTGGGACTTGGGCTTTCTACCAGCCCTCGACAACCTCAGAAAGAACAAAGCCCGGGAAATTGCGGATGCAACCTACCTTTACACGCCGCTTCCTGCATTGCAAACACCCATGTCGCGACTTACTATGCGGCCTCCGCGGGGCGGACATGTCAAAATATGAAGGATCTCTCCTTCTAAACGTAGTGACTGCAATTATCGGGAGGTGAGCGAACCTTTGGATCAGCAAGAAGTAAGCAGTGGGTCAAACGCGGTAACATCACCATCACGTGACGCGCTCAGTATACTTGGGATCATTTTTCCTATCGCGAGATATCCTCAATCTTCGAAGATGAATTATTTTGTGTGATTATATTGTTTCTCAAGAGTGTTTGGATCAATTTAGCTCTGAAAATAGCTACCATATCACCTAATCGTATGCGTAGAGGATGTACAAGAGCACTTTGTAAATAACATATGATAAACGAATGTGATATCGGTACACTTTGGCAATTAAAACAGGATGCTGTAACTCTTCTAAATTGGTAGTGTGAAAGTAGGGACCAAGTATCATCTAATACATCAAAACTGGTAACTCGCCTAAATACAACCAGCCGTAAGAAACCTCGGGAACTTTTTATTCAAGCATTTTGTGTTAGACTATCTCTATGTGAACCCTCAGTAAAGACAACTCGACAACCTCCTCAACCCAGTCAAGATCATACATGACGAGGCGATCCGCTACCAGCTTCGAGGGTTATCATTCTGCAACTCCAACTTCCCGATATGTTCACAGAACCCAGCACGCTCTGCGATTGGCGCTGCTGCGCCACGCGGCCCACAACACCCAATACTTCGACTGGATTTCCCCTGACTCTTTTTGTCCTTGCACAAAGAAAGAAGAACAATATACGACTGATATTCAAGCTGAAGCTTCCACCCAACTAGGGGAGCCTACAACCGCCAACCAGCTTAGTCCAAGGGCACTTTCGGGACCTTATAAAAGGACCGGGCCTTTCTCCGGTATAGAAAATTGGACTACCAACGATGGGACGGCAGCCACCTGAACTAGGAACAGTTCACAATGAAACGCACCAGGGAGGGGGAAATTTGCGGACAACCTCAAGCAAGAGTCTCCCAACTTTTCTTGCCTTACCAAGTGAAATTCTACTAGAAATTCTGCAATATTATGTGGATTGCACGTGGGATACCAAGACGGCCTACTGTCTGGATCTACGGAGAACTTGCCGTAAGTTGAGCCTGAATAATGTCTGTCCTCTTATACATCTCCCTTCGTACTTATTCCCTTGATTAGGTACCGTTGATGACGCTGTTTCACGCATTATTTTCCAGAGGATTGATCATGGCATCATCCTTCGGAGTAAGAAGCCATTACGTGGCCGGACTCTGAAGTGGCTACTCCTTACCAAATCAAAGATTCAATACACCAAAAAGGAAGGGCTTTTCGCAACTATTCATGAATCCGCAGCATGGATGTGTACGCAAAGCGCATTTTACTCTGGGATTCTCTACACCTATGATGACTATCTCGATGCTGCGTGCTGCGCTATTGTCGCTCGTCATGAAGGTGACTGGATTTTGCAAAACGCGATTTTTGGAGTTTCAACGTGCCGAGTCGGTTTTTTTCGGACTAATCAGAATAAGGCACATACGGTTGAGAGTGATTTGGATCAGGATGTCATCAAAATTCATGCATCTGAAATGGCCAATGGCGCCCTGCATCTTGCTGCGTCGCTTGGGAATGTCTCGGCTGTGATGTCGCTACTCGCAAGAGGCGTAGATCCAAACCAAAATCATTCCCTGTACGGATATGCTCTGATTGCAGCCATATTTAGTGGCCACGTGGAGATAGTTCAACACTTCGTCAAACATGGCGCTGACTTAAACGTGCAGCCTCTGGTCGGTGAGCCTCCTGTTGTGCTTGCTGCTCAGAGAAATAGCAAAGACATAGTAGACTTGTTGGCGAAGGAGGGCCGTGTTCAGGTGAACAACAGCTGTAAAAATGGGTTGACTGCCTTGCTATGGGCTGTGAGGCGGGGATGGTTGGATACAGTCCAGACACTTCTTGGGCGAGAGGATATCGACCCAGATTCTTTAACAGCATGGGGAGACTCGCCGCTTGCAACAGCGATAAAGTGCCGGCACGATGACATCGTTCGCTTACTGATCAGCCGACTTGATGTTGGTCTTAAATTTCGTTCAGGCGTACAGGGTCAATTGTTGGCTGCCGTCAGAAGGGGCTCATGTGAAATCATGAACTTACTACTCGACAAGTACAGGCTTAACCCGAATATTCATCTCAAGGCTGATAAATCTCTCTTAGGTCTTGCTGTATTTTGGCGACAGAAATCTATCGTGGTTTTACTTTTGAAGCACAAGGATGTCGATCCAAACTATAGGCAACAAGACACACATCCTACGCCTTTAATGATAGCGATTGATAATGGCGACACCAAAATGGTAGAGCTTCTCATTGCTCACAAGGGCTTGAACCCCAATCTCACGTCCATGGGTTCGCGCCGCTGGCAAAAGCTATTCAGAGGCGGCACGATCAAATGGCTCAAACTATTCTTGGCCGAATTGATATTGATATCTCTATCAGAGTGCCCCCTAGAGGTGCAACAGGACGTTCGCTTAGTATGCTAGGTCTAGTTGCTTTGAAAGGTACAGATGTGACTCTACGCAGTCTTCTCGATCATCCTGAAATCGGAGACCCAAACGAGGGGGGGGAAGAAGAGCCCACGCCTTTGTTTACTGCGATATCCCGTGGCAATACTAGTGTGGTCAGAGAGCTCCTCAAGCAACGTGACGTGGACCCCAACAGATCTTCAGTGAACAGAGGGCTGCAGATGATGACACCGCTACAGCACGCAGTTGAGTGTGGTAATAGGAAGATAGTCAAGTTGTTGCTGCGTCGAAACGATTTGGATGTGAACAAAATTGGGGAAAACAGTCATACGCCTCTGGAGCTTGCTGTCCTGAAGGAGGAAGCACCCAGACTTACATTTCTCCTGCTTACAAGAACGGACATTTATATCAATAGGAGATCCGAAATCCGCAGACAAGAATACTTAGTCAAGACTCATCGCATGACTACGGAGCTGAATAAGCTGGCCTACAACTTTAAATCAGTACATGCTGAAGGAGTTGGACTGGGAGGTGGAGAAACGATACTTTTAATCAACGCGAAGGATGGAAGGGTTGGGTCTGTCATGCAGCTTATGCGAGACAAGCGTATCAATCCGAATATAGGAGATGCATGGGAAAGAACGCCACTTTGGTGGGCGGCTCGGGAGGGTCATGGGCAGGTGGTGGAACAGCTCCTTGAGCTCGGCGACAAGATCAAGCCATCGTTTGTTAACGTAAATGCTCAGGACCTGGAAAGCTGGTCACCTCTTCTCTGTGCTGTGAATGGAGGTTACGAGCCAATCGTTTCCGCGCTCCTTAAGAGGCCTGAGATCGATCCAAATCTTGCCAATGAGGAGGGCTGGACGCCCTTACATCTTAGCGTGGCCCGAGAAAATGAGGGAATAGTAAAGCAATTGCTGGCACACCCCAAAACGAATGTCTGGGCAAAGCTCAAAGTCGGTCGGACAGCACTGGAACTTACTGGTCCTACTCGGAGGAGGATATTCAATGCAGTGAAGGCTCGTGAAAATCGAGACGCCGGGCGACGATGACTTCCCCTGAAAAGGAGGGCGTGAACAAAAGCCTTTTGAGAGCAGGCTGAAGATAGCCATAATGCGACAACCGCTGGCCAAAGAAGAATCAATTGCGCTCAACTACATAAATCTACCATGTTTTGGTATTGGAAAATATCTGGCCCCTGCTTCAGATAAGTTTGTTGACGGTTTGGGGTGTAGGAGATGTAGCGCATCGACACCATATCTTTTACGGCAAATAAACCCTTTTCATACGCGTAGACACTAGGTTATTCATCCTTTCTCTTCAAATGTACGTTATATCTGATTATTTTGGGAAATATAGAGCGTATCCATGCAGCTTGTTTCGCTTGTAAAAGTATGAACTCCAGTTCTCCCCTATGTATATTTAATCAATGTCTTTTTTTTTCCCTTGCCGCTTAGTAGACAAGAGTAACGGGCTCCTTGACATATGATTTCAGGCTCGTCTCACCGTTTAGAGACTGGTAGATAGCCTGTACGAAGGCCTTGGCGGCCGCATCGGCACCATCAGGACTTGTGTGGGTGTGATCAGAGGGGTAAAAGGCATTGACAGCGGTAGCACCAAGCTTCTCATACATGTTGCTGACTGCCTGGAAATGATCCACATATGTAACAGACGCGTCGTTGAGGGCAGTGACGGCGGTCTTTGTGTAGGCTACAAAGCGGCTCGCGCCTCCTTCGAAAGAGCCCGTTTCCCACTGGTTGTTGGGAGTCTGAGAGCTAAGAATCACAGATGCCCCCTTGGCAGTCATGAGCTTAGCCGCCTGGGTCACGTAGTAGACAAACGTGTATACAGTCTTGCCCGTCGAATCAGACGTGCAGGTTTCAGTACCATCGCCAGGGCAGTCGGAACGACCATTGTCATTCTTTTCAGGGCTACCACCATCATTGTGCCCGAACTCAATAACAACAATGTCACCTGACTGAACAGTATCAGCCACGGCTTGGAATCTTCCCTCGTCCCAGTACGAACGGGCTGATCGGCCGCCAATGGCGTGGTTGGACACTGTAGTAGTCAAATAGTTGCCAATGTAGTTGCCCCAGCCATCGGTTTTTCCAGAATTGGAGCCGCCCTTGGCCATGGTACTGTCTCCGCAGAAATGAACAGTAGGTGCCTGCTTCGATACCCGACCGGATGCAGGGGCAGCCATTGCCTGCAAGGCGCCCAGCGCAAAGATAAGGAAGGAGGAAGAAATCATAGTGAACGAAGAGATAAATTATTACTTCAGAGATGCCTGCTCAATGAAAATGGACTGAAAGTGAACAAAAGGTGCTTACTGCAAACATGGGAGATCTGGCAGGAATATATCCTCTACTCAATGACAAGAGGAGATTGTCTTCCGCCTTTTGTTACATTGCCTCGTGTCGGTTTTAATGCTTGAATCAAATTTCGCTTCGCTGCTTCCGCGTTGCCAAGTTGGTTAATTCCCGTGTTTCATCCCATGTCAAACACAGTTGTCCCTGAAACACGTCGCATCAAGCCTCAGAACCACTCACGCGGCTTGGCATCGTCCGACACCAGAAGTCCAGTTTGGCAGTGGTTTCTTTTCCATTCTCTCCTACTCTTGACTGCAATTGCCGGGCGGGGACGTCTGACTATCCAACCTTGGGGAACTTATGATGCAGCTATTTTGTAGCCAATGACCCCTGATGCAGTAAAAAACTAGACATCATGTGAAAGATAAGATTCCATACCATATATCTTCCCAAAAAGAAAATTGCCAATCGCTCACTTTTCTTGTGCCGGTAGCCCTACCCGAGCATCACTTCTCCTTGTTAGCTATCCTTCATAAAGTAAGAGAAGCGGGAAAAGAAGAGAGATATTTCAATTACCTTCCCAGCCCCATTCCTCCATTATGCTAAACCAGTGATCTTTGCTTGTCACCAAATATTCCCTATGCCCAGATGTCATTCGAGGCCGAGTATGCGTTGCAAAAGTAGAGAAATCGAAAAATTCAGACGCCATTGTCGCATCATCTTCTAAGCAACTCTGGCAGAATGTCTCTCCAACACCGCTATCAGATCGTAGCGCTGCTGGCCCCGTTTGTGAGTGTGTGACTCCGGGGGCGAGTGTGGGAAGTGTTTCGTTCGTTGAGCTGTGAGTAGGATTAAGGCATGAGGCGCACAGGTTTATTTGGCTTTCGCGTCTTCTCCATACTTCCAATGTAAGCTCTAGACATCGTTCCACGATTCCAGAGGTCATCTCACTGGACATTGACTTCCATCGGCTGCGAACCCAGGCCTTGTCTTCTGCATCGATAACCTCACAGCCCGCGATCATAAGTGGTAGCACATGGAAGATAAGCGCACGGGATTTAAGAGAAACCGTAGCGACAAGAACAAGGATTTTCTGTGCCATTTCAGAGAAGGATAGCTTTCGTGGAAGTTCCGGAACTGCCTGGTACAGGAGAAGAATGGTAGACCATTTGAAAACATTGGCCGTCTGCACCAGATCTGAGGTACTTAAATTAGGGGACTGGTACCCGAATGGTACCTCCAAGTCGATGGGAGGAACCCAAGCTTCGATAGAGCACTTCAGCTCCGCGGCATAGGACACCGTTGCAGGGGAGTTTATGGCTTGCTGTGCTCTTCTGACACGTCTGACTAGGTCACCCACGCGGCCAATCAAAGGAAACAGTGTCCCTGCACATCCCATCAGAGGATCTATAGGCAGCTCAGAGCTATTTCGGAGGCTTAATTGACTGCAGGAGGTCATCAGTTCGAGGTCGATCTCTTGTGCGTCGGTGCAAGTGATCCGTGTGATGGTGTCTTGGTACATCCAGGTATTGGCCAGAAAGCTGAGGCAAATACTGCTCTCGGATGTTTGTAACCCTGGAACTGCCGCAAGAGCCCTTTTAACAAGCGGTCTTGCCCTTCTGGTGAACCGAGTGCCGTTGGATGATCGCGGGTAATGCCATGTCTGGGCAAAGGCGAGAACCAGGGTGATAACCAACGCCACTTCAAGACGCATACTACTGCTGTTGCTACCAGTAGCCAACTCTTGGATGCTATTTTTGAAATGAGTGACGCCTTCAGAAATGAATTTGGACATCTGAAAATATGTCATGGCTGCTATTGCATGATAGAGTGCAGGATGTTCTTGAGCAAGCGGCCAGACAATCTTACGCCATGGGTTTCCGTTTGCACCGCCATACATGCAAAGCACTTCACACACTCGGCGATCATAGATACGAGCAATATTCTCTGGACTATCGCGAGGGATGTCGATCTCTTGAAATAATCTGAACATGTCAGTGTCATCTGTGATGCCTGACTCTTCTGGTTCCGCCCTGCTGGAACGAGGATTCCACATTGTTTCCAAGGGGTTGAGATCCGGTTCTAAGTGCTCAGGTGTGCGCTCTAGCCATTCAGCTATGTTACCGCCCGCATATTCGTGGGTAATTGGCGAACTTGGGAGTTGATCAAGTGAACATGGTAAAATTGCAGACGCAGGGCATGCCGAGCCATCGCCCATCGAAGAGAAAGTGTTCTGGCCATTTAGAATGCTGTGAAGAGGGAGGGCTTCGTCAAAGCTTATTGATGTTCCGAAGCAGGGTTGAGAAGGGGTATCGGCAGCGGGATGATCGGGCATCTGCAAGATTGGAGAGCAGCTGCTGAACGGTAAGAAGGGGGTAAAGCTGGCATCCCCGAAATCCGGTCTGGCCCAACCAACGTCACCTAGCTCCCTCGTAGGCAAAGCCTCTTGGATACCGGGGATCTTTGGTCGTTGGACATCTGGGCGGCCAGAAGACGTACTTGGCGCAGGCTCCGTTCTCGGCACATTTGCTTCAGGGAGGCCTGTCATTACCATAAGCCCGATGCGACGTGGATCGGGCTCAGAAAACCCAACTTACTGGTCCTATTCGACGAGGCACCCGAATGTGGGAAGTTTTCCTGTTCAACCCATTTCAGATTTTTGAGATAGCCGCCACAGGTGACGCCTCGCCGGCGACACTCGAAGCAGGCCGGTTTGCCCTCGTCGCACTTCCTCCGCCTTGCTTTGCAATTAACACAGCCTGGCATATCATTTGTTAGTGTTCATATATACGATGGGGCCTAAAGAGAGGGACAAACCGCCCCGGCTTTTCGTTGCTTTTGACCTGGTACGGGGGGGCGTTTCCGGCTCCCCCTTGGAAGTACGTGGTAGTAGCTGACGGGGTTGATCCATTCAGTCTGATCCAGTCGAAATAGGGAGAGGCCTTGCGAGAACGAGGGGAACAACGCAAAGGCTACGGTGAGGGTCTGCGGGCCACCTCGTCTGCGGCGACCTCAGGCTGGGATGCTTCGTGTGAAGAAGATGGGGGATAGGGGCAGGAGCATGGCGAACGGCCGGTGATATAAGAAGTGCCGGCCGTGCTATCATTTGCGGGGTCGATAAGTGACCAACTCCGATCACGACGACCTCCACATGCTTGGGGTCGTCTACCGCCAATGATCGCCGGGTGATTAAGGATAAATGGGACTCGTCAATGACGAAACGGTCTCCTTGCAGAATTATGTCCCGGGTTGCTATTTTTGTGTGACCGAGCATGCTGCATCTGCTTCTACTGCTGCCAGGACCACTAACACGGGTAGATCGATCACCTATTTACGGCCTCTGTTGCAACTTAATGCCGGCTTTGGGTGGCCTTCTTCCAAGAGGCTATGTTACATCAGTATCAAGTTACTGCTAGAACCCGCCTATTCACACTGGAGGAGCCAAGCAGCCACTAAGTACGTCTAAAAGTCCTGGAATCGTGCTTTCTGGGACGATGCTTACTTCAAATCGGCATGAATTCATTGAGTTGAAATGGAATTCTGCCATATCACTGAAAGTAGTACTATGCGTAACTGCCTAGGTAATTTAAAGTAAATAGCGAATATAAACCCTCATCCTCGTCATCCATTGCTTTCCATGCCAAATTATCGTGAAACCTTATATAAACCCGAAATGGAATACAGATCAGAAATGGGACATCATACACAAGCCTGATCTGGCATATGGGCATTTATTAGGACAGTGACGGTTGCGCCGACCAGCTTGTGTCCTGTTCCCATTCTTTCTCAAACTGAGCAGAGCACGTGTCGAGAACCTGAGTTTGATAATCTAACATAAAACTCAGCAACTGCATAGATCGTTTTACTGATATGTGACTTAGACGAAACACCATTCTCTTGATCTGGATTGAGAAGCCTCTCGGTATAGATGCCGAAGTTGAGATTTATCTGCGCCCTCTCGACAAGTTCGAGATCCTCCAGCGCAACGGTGCGGGAGAATCTAAAATAATATTCAAATTCCTTTGAGCCTGTCTCAACCTCGTGGTAGTAGTCAAATTCTGTTATTGAGCTTGATGCACCCTCCTGAGGCATGATTCTCCAGGATGTGACACCGCCAGCGTAAAGGCTCAAAGTGGCATCGGGAAACATGTAGATAAACAAACCATGAAGAGGATTTTTAGTACATGTAAGATACTAAGAGTAATTTTCGTGATTGACTACCTTGTAGCTAGCAGGTGAATAGACCTTGGCGAAGGCGGGATGGGCGTAGGCGCTGTGAAGGCATTCTTGATACCCATCCACCATCGTCTTCCATTTAGCTTTGGGTGCATACTTGAGCGGCCGTCTAAGTGGATACTGGCTGAAATCTGCCTTTGAAATCAACTCTTCAAGACCCGGGAAAAAATCAATCTTGAAAGCTGACTGCCTCATCTGAGAGAGCCAGGAAAAGCACACCAGTCCGGCTCAAATGACTGCGCATCTCTGAGCCCTGGCAGGCTTGTCAGCATGCATATATTATCGTAATACTGCACAGGGTTACATCCAGCCTACATCGCGAGAGAAGATCTTCAGGCTTCTCCAATCGGCGGAGGCGCGACGGACGATAAAATTGATCTGGGCTGTCTCGTTGAGATAATCCTCTCCCGCGTTAGGCCCCTTGGCCACAGGGCCAAGGGGCGTCCATGACTTAAACACAAGTTATTAGCAGCGCTATAAGATATAAAAAAAGTGCAGCGAACCTTGTAAAATACGGCCCGCCGCTCTAAAGAGTAGAGGTCACTAGAAGTGTTCCAATAAGCGGGAAGCGTTGTTGTGCAGGCAAACCTTTTTTGGGGGAGTTTGAACAGAAACTGCATCGTATGGTAAGCTGGTTCTGGCTCCAGCCAACAATCGGTCCTGTCTTCAATATAGATCGTCATGAGGCATCTCGTGAAATAACACCCTCTGGTGAAAGCTGCCCATCACATGCCGCTAGCCTTGATGGAGAGTTTGAGTCCACACCGGTTCTTAGCTGCTCGATTAGGAATATAGATCCGCCAGCGTCTGACGAATAAGATGCAATCCATATGTCGAAATCTAGCCTGGGTTGTGCAATGTTCAATCGGCCCTTGGGGCAAGTTGAAATTCACTTGGGTGTAGATTGTCTCTGGCTATTTTGCCTATTATAGGAAAGTGATGTTGCAATCTTCCGGTTCCCACATGATCTCGGCAGCAACGTTGGTGCTTTTGAGACGCGAGATAGGACAGAGAGCGGAATTGTGCCTGTCTGGGGAAAGCAATACGCCGGAGTGAGCGCCGGAATGCCGAGCCAAGGTCAGATCTCCTTGTCGAAATTGTCCATCATGATCACAACACTGCACAAGTCAGTAATGCGACCCGCCCCAATCTCCAGTGATCGCATGAGTGAAGTTGAAATGGAGATGCGGACGTATTATACTTCATTTCCTGGTCCGCCACAGCTTCGTGGGAACAGAAACACATCCTCACTCTTCCATTGTTCGTAATTACCTATCGCCCTTCACCATGTTGGAACTTATCGACCTTTCTTCGTTGCCCCCTCAAGTGCCTGTTTACCTCTTGATTGCTTTTTTGGGATCGGCATCTTTGAATATCTGGCTCTTGGTCTCCAAACGCAGCTTCTTACCTCTTCTTGATGAACAGGCTTTGCAGAAAGGAGGCCTCATCGGCCCCCCAGAGGGATGGTGGGCGAGTGAGACCTTTTTCCAGGCAGAGAGAAGGGCTATTTTCAGCAAGGTATGTAAGTAGGTAGCCATTACTTACTCTGCACTAGTTAACAAGGCCCAGACATGGATATGTGTGAGCCACCGAGGGCGTTTTGCCAAACCTGGGGATTACGTTACGTCCGAGCTTGCAGGTTTCCGATTTTTCATCATTCTTGGCAAAGATGAGCAAATCAGAGCTTTCCATAACATTTGCCGCCATCGAGCCTTTCCTGTGGCGAGAAAAGCCTCTGGGTCAGCCATGGTTCTGGGATGCCAATACCATGGCTGGAGCTACAATACCAAGGGAGAACTCACTAAAGCTCCTCAGTTTGACAATGTTCCAGGTTTTGATAAGAGCAAGAATAGCCTGTTCGAAATCCACACCAAAGTAGATGCCTTGGGCTTTATCCACATCAACTTAACAGGAGACCAAAGCTCGGTGGATAACAACCTTCCGAAGCCAGAGAAGATTGGGAGGCCTGCCCGGGTTAGTCCATCTTCACAGTTTCTCCATGGTTGGGAGTTGGAGGGAAAGTACAATTGGAAGGCAGCAGGTAAACTACAATCCCCAATTTGTGTCGCTCCCAAGATTGTTAAATAACGGAAATATATAGATTCACAGGACAACGGGGATGATGTTCCCAACCCGAACCGAGGGACTTCAAGAATATTTTCTCGGGCCTTATTTACCCACGGCCTTACTCCCTCGGGGCAGCTACGCTTCTTCCCTCTAACTACCATCCACACGAAGAGTGGGAGGCCCTTCTGGTACCAAATAACCCTCTCACCAGGATCTGCTTCCTCAACAACACTGCGCTGTGAATTGTACTCGACGAAGCAGTCAGAAATCTCGCAGATAGGTGAAATCAAGGCTACGTTAGAAGCAGAGCTAAAGCATACAATTCAACAGTATGAGGATACCTATAGGAATGTCCGCCAAGACGCAACAGTAGGAAACTTGACCGGTATGAAATTCCCTAGTGGATATGAACTAAAACCAATTGTTGATACCTTTTCTAGCAAGTTACGCCAAAATCGCGAACACTGTGTCTAAACACCTTAAGCAAGAGCAAGTGGAAGGGTCAGAAATCAAGCCAGCGACAGTGCAACAGTACCGGAGCGCGGCGTTTTTAAAGGCCGAACAAAGTAAGATCAATACCACCATCTGTCTAGAACATAGAGTGCCGATTCTAATGTGAATTATTCAGTATGTCAAGCCATGCAATGCAGTAGTGACAAACTAGACTGGTGATTGGTTCTGCCCTTTTCGACCGCCGGGTCACTAGGAAGGAAATCTCGGAGCGAAGTTGATATCCATTGTGATAAGTGGTATATTCATAGGCGCGTGTAGTGTTTAGAAGAGCAATAGGGTTATTTTGATTTACAAGTCAAGCCTACGTCCCAAAACAACGAGCAGACCTACAAAACGTACTCTATGGGGCCCTCCGTGTTACTACATGTAGGTATTGCCAAAGTGACTTGACCCTCTAAGCCTAATAATTAATCAACGACACAAAATGAAAACAGGAGAAGACAATGTGTCTGTGAAGGGGTTCCCCACATGTAAATTACAGTACCCAGCTTCCTCCCATAGAATCTGCTATCTACCTGCACTATCTTGTTTGCTTAAGAGGTTAGAAGCGTTTTGTTATCCGGGGCCGGCTGTTGGTTTCCTTATCTTGGTATCTCGTTACGTGCGCCATGTTTCTCTCCCTTATTCCCGCAATCCACTCACAACTCCCCTATCATCCTATGGTCGAAGGTTATTATTGCCCCAAACCTCGTCCTTGTCTCAAGTATTTCTAGCCGTTTTTGGATACCTTTTGCGCCGTATCTCCATGATGTGATAGGCTCACAACAAAGGGGTCCCAGTTTCTGAGAAACGGACGGCTAGGACAGGTCAGGCTTCGCGATAGGACAGTCGATGGTTTGCATGTCAGCCTAGTCAAATAATAAAGTCCATTCAGTTATAAAATTAAACCACTTGCCGATCCTTAGTGTTATAACGCTCTTCTCGCAACCTCACTTTTACTCATATAGTGCTATTGTCAACTTACAGGCGCTGGAAAGCCAGTCATAAGCCAAAATATAGGCACCATCGCAGCCTCGTGTAAAGTCTCAGAACCACAATATTTCATTCGGCAGTTCATATTGATCCTTTCTTATCCCCCTACTTGCACCATCTCAATCCAGCAATGGAACCTCCTCACAATTCAGAAAGGGGGCTGAAGATGTCAGGGGAGAAAGACGTCCGCCCAAGGGCCTCTCTTGAACAAATTGGAAGCACACAAGCTTATCATCAAGATGGAACTCGTCGCATGTTAAAGCCACGACATATCCAATTCATTGGCATTGGCGGTACCATTGGCACTGCACTTTACGTACGCAACAACCCGGGGCCAAACCGGATCCATGAAATCCAATCGTTTCCAGCCCAGAGTTTCCCTGTTCCCTTGTTTCATTTCTCCTTCTGAAGTGCTGACTTTGAATGCAAACTGCAGGTTCAAATAGGTAAAAGCCTTATCAATGGTGGCCCAGGTAGCCTGTTTATAGCATTCTCATTATGGTGCACGTTTATTCTTGCCATTACGATGTGTATGGCAGAGATGGTTACTTATCTACCCATCTCATCGCCCTTCATTCGCTTTGCAGGCCGCTTTGTCGATGAAGCGCTTGGATTTGCTGCCGGATGGAATTTCTTCATCTTCGAGGCCGTGCTGGTTCCGTTTGAAGTTACTGCATGCAACTTGGTGATCCATTACTGGAGCGATGTTATTCCAACAGCTGCAGTGATTGCAATTGTTCTTGTTCTCTATGCTCTGATTAATGTCCTGACTATCAAGTGGTATGGTGAGACTGAGTTTTGGGCTGCACTTGGCAAGGTGCTTCTAGCTATCGGCCTTATCATTTTCACCTTTATCGTCATGGTGGGTGGAAATCCTCAACACGATAGGTTTGGCTTCAGGTATTGGCATACACCAGGCGCCTTTGCAGAGCTCTACTACGAGGGTTCTTTAGGCCGATGGCTAGGGTTTCTCTCCTGTCTGATTCAGGCAGCCTTCCTAATTGCTGGCCCAGACTATGTGTCTATGACGGCCGGTGAGGCTGAGAACCCCCGGAAGACCATGCCTCGAGCCTTCAACGCAGTCTTCTATCGTCTGACCGCCTTCTTTGTTCTCGGAGCACTCTGTGTAGGCATCCTGGTTCCGTACGACGACCCGGAAATGGCAGCAGCTTTCAAAACTGGAGAACCCGGTGCAGCAGCGTCTCCTTATGTTGTGGCAATGAATCGGCTTGGCATCAAAGTCTTGCCACATATTGTCAATGCTATGGTATTGCTATCCGCATTCTCCGCAGGCAATTCTTATTTGTACTGTGCCTCCAGATCACTTTATGGCCTTGCACTTGAAAACAAGGCACCTCACTTCTTGACGCGTTGTACAAAAGACGGCGTCCCTATTTATTGTGTGGGTGTTGTGCTGGGCATAGGGTTACTCTCCTTCCTGCAGCTTTCTGCCAACACTGCAGTGGTTCTCAGCTGGTTTGTTTCACTTGTGACTGCCTCCCAGCTCATCAATTTCTGTGTTGTTTGCATCACCTACCTATGCTTCGCACGCGCTCTCAAGGCTCAAGGAATAAGTCGTGATTCACTCCCTTTCAAAGCCCGGCTTATGCCATTCGGTGCATGGTATGGTCTTTCTGGGGCTTTCGTAATGGTGTTTGTGCAGGGCTATACTGTTTTTCTTCCTGGGTTTTGGGACGTCCCGAATTTCTTGTTTTCGTGAGTAATCAAACCGAGCCGCGCAGTTTGAAGAATCTAATCGACTTCAGATATACCATGGTCGGTGTGTTCCCAGCTCTTTATATCGGCTGGAAGCTATTTCACAAGACAACAGTCCATAAGCCTCATAATGTCAACCTTCGCGAAAACTTGGATGTGATTGACGAGTATGAGCGAAACTTTGTTTCCCAGACCCCAGAGTAAGCCTCATCTTCCCCGGGCCACTTCGAAATTATTATTAATGTCTCCAAAGCGGTAGATTCGAAAGGGCTCTCGACAAGTTGTTTGGCTGAGAAATTTTGACCGGATGTTAGCCACGGTTTTTCAACCAAACTCGAAAGCTGGGAGTCTCTGGGGAACTATCTGTGATCATCAAGGCGATACATTCTGTTGACTAACAGGCGGGAGCTCATGCTATCTCGGCCAATGCCGAACCCAAGCAAATCTAATTCTGTACTCAAAACATACTTCTGCCTCCCTTCGCTTTTTAAATGAATTTTTGACAACCTCTTTAGGAAAGTGTGGACAATCGCATTACTATACAAGTTATATCGAATTCCCATTTGCCTCTACCTTCACCTGTCATGATCAATCATTCAGTAATAATTTTGATTAAGTTCAGAGCCAACCAAAGCAACCCTCCACAGGCTTGACGTTCAGCTATTGGTCGACTCTATATATATATATGTGTGTGTGTGTGTATGATTATGCTCGCTATTATGTCCCTTTTCAAATCGACTATGGCATATATCCCGGTCCACTCGAGCAGATCCAGCAGACCTCGGACCACTTCAGTCGTATCCATCAAGGACAGACCCGTGGGTAATTATTAATGATGCTCTCTGCCCAACACTCCCCCAGGTAAAAAAAAATTCAATCCGAAAGGCGGATAGAAGTCACACTGTTAGTCACTAAATTACGTTGAGAGTAGTATGCAAACCACTGCGCAACTTCCTCGATTTCGGTGTCCTCGAGATGCTCTAAATATTTATCTCTCAACGGCTCAAGTTGCTAGAAATGATATCAGAATAAGAGTAAATACGAGAATGATATAATGTGGTTAATTCTCATAGGCGTGAGGGGCAATACTTACGCGATCAATAAGGAAAAGAATATCCTGAAACCGTTCAGCCTCGGCCAAGGCTTGGTGTGTAAAAACTCGAATATTCGACAATTTTTCCTCCAGAGGAAGTTCAACTATAAGAGTTAGCAAGTTCTGTACCCAAAGGAATACAATGATAAGATCAATGGATGAATGCCATACAGTAAATATTGCTTCTTTGAACTGCGTCCAGGAAGCGGGTATCCAAAATAGACGGCGGAAGTAAAGCAAGAAAGCTCATTGCCATAGAGAAGCGAAACCCAAGATGGTTTTCAAAAAGGCCTCCAATACGGAGGGCAGCATCCAACGCCCGGGGACTGGGAAGATCGGCTTGGAAGCCTGGAGTGAACTGCGACCGATAATTTAAGATGGCAGTGGACCAAGGTGTTTTTTCTTCCCGCCTCCAGTCGAGATATGTAATGAAATTCGGTTGTAAATCAAACAAGCCACTAGCGATAAGTTGTTGAAGGTTGACAACTTGACATCTATCTTGGATCTTCAGAGACCCTTGGGAGAGAAACTCTCCATTGTAATGTGCTGTGCCATAGTGTCCCAGGCGGAGGTTCTCGAGCCGTGCCAATCGGTGGTTATGGGGGCTCAGCGGACGTATCAAGTCCATATCTCGAAGGAAAACTCCCTTCGGGAATAGTCTGGTATCTATAATACACAGATGAATATCATTGAGTGTGGCGCCATTGGTATCTGTGCTGTAGCGGTTGAACATGTACAGGATAGCCACCAAGAGTGAGCTTGTCCATGACACAAAAGGGCTGAAGGAGCGATGATATGTCCAGCGCAGGTGATCCGCAAGCTCATCGGCGATTACACTGGCGCGGCGGCTGCAGACATCCACGGGGATTTCAGACTGGCGCTCGTGTGCAGCCTCCATGGACATGGCCCACTTTCGGTTCGTGAGACCGCCCGAGTTGGGGGTGTAGACCCTGAATAGATACCGTGGGACATGGTTGGATGTCTCACGCAGCCACGAGCCTGGCGCATTGGAGGAGAAGGGAGTGCACTCGTAGGGAGCGCTGAGCGATTGAATAGCCATTGATTATTCTGCCAACTTTGGTGTGCGATTGATGGCAACTCAGGAGGTTAGGGAGGAAATGAGGATTAATGAATCCAGCCACACCATTCACCAGTGGGGGCTGGATAGACAGGGGCTCGCAATCAATTTAATTGTTGGGCCTTATCAAGCACGCCGAGCGATGGCCTTGGGGAACAGACATGCACCACATTGACTATAAATAATTAATTGAACGGAGAACATGATTATTCGGTGAACCGATTGACTCCCCTTCGTTCCTCCTCAGACAGGTACCAACATAGGAATATCATGATTGCCCCCATTATGAGCCCATTGCACCCGCTTGCCAACTCATTTAACTGTCGGTGTGGGGAACTTCACGTGATGTCTTGCGTCTCCCCATAGAATTAGGTAGGAGACGGGCATGACTGGCAGCTTAACTGCATCTAACCTTAACGCAAGCGCCGTACCCATGCATAGCCTACCCTAAAGTCTTCTCCCTCCCACGACAAGGAGAAAGATGCTGGGGTGCTTTCTGATCTGTTCTAACCGTCATTAACGCTGAGTAAATCCCCAGTTGCTCTGCGGCGGAATCTCTTGATGTCTTCGGATGGATAACTCCCTAGATTGACTATCTAGCCATCCAAGTTGCATCAATGCCTTGGTTCGCGTTGCATGAATTTCATGCGCTGTGGGTCGACATCACCTCCCCATTTCCTGATGTCAAATTCGAGCACCTCGACCTCCGTGTAGCCCATTTTCTTGTAGAGTTTCTCCCCAGTTTCACTCGCCTCCAGGAAGCTCTTCAAGTGCAGGCTGTCAGCAAGTTTCGCCCCCCTCTGGACCAGAAGCTGGCCAGCGCCTCTGCGCTGATGCCTCGGTGACGTTGCAAGTTGCATCAGTTGGACGTGAGGAGTCTTGCCTACTACCCTGGCTTTGACCTCCCATAGCCTTCCCAAAAAATCCCTAGCGACCTCAAGATTGACCCTATCACCAAAAAGACTTTCAATTTCATCAGCGTGTCGGATCTTTATTTCCTTTGCTTCTTCATCGTTCCTATACACAAGAAACATCGCAAAGGCTATCATTTCGTTGTCAAGATCCGTGTCGATGACTTTAAATATCTTCATGAAAGGGCTCGCTTCCCATTCCTTAATTACCCGCTCAGCCCGTTCTCGCTCCTTTTTGGAGATCTCATCCGCACTTATAGCCTGTTGTGTCCGTGGGAAAAGAAATGGCTCAATTGGGTTGGTTTGAAAAGCCTCCACTCGCAGAGGTTCAAGTAATGGCACATCGGCCTTTTCGACCTCTTGGACTTGGAGAGGCATGGATGAAAATTTGAACCCAAAAATGGGGGTGCAGGTCTTGTTGGGTTTTCGGGTTTGGTTGTTCGAAACTTCAAACCCTAGGGAATTCCGCTCAGCAGGGCAAATTGCAACCCCAGAAACAAAGAGATTCAGCCCATCGGTTTCTCGGAATTAATTATATCCGCTCTTGGGTGAGATCTTCAGCTTACTTTCCATCGTGTTGCTTTTACATCGATGATTACGTGAAGGGTGTTGAAACTATCCTTCAAATAGTAGTTGATTCTACAGGGCGATGCAATACGCAAATTTCGCACTTGCATCCTGGATGACGCAATATTAATAATTTGTCATCCTGTATACATAAGTAAGCTTGAATTAGAAATCATAGGATTACGCCTGGTGAGATAGGTTGCATGGGTTATGAAAGATCCCAGCCAAGGAAAGGGTTCGATCCATAGGGTTATGATATCAGCGACGATAGGGTGTTTCGTCAGAGGCCCAGTCATGGTAGAGGCAAGCGGGGATCTATCTATATATTGGTATAGTCTCTTCCATTCCACATCTGCTCTCAGAGTGACAAGATCCAGCTATCCACGTTACGAATATATGCATTTACTACATTTTCAAGATGGAGCAGTTTGAGTTTCATGATGCTGTTTCCCACCCAGGCCGCACCTGGGAAACCATTGACTCTGGTGTAACCCAACTCCTCCTCAACCATGACCCCCGCACTGGCAGACGCACGACTCTTCAACGTTGGGAACCCGGAGCTACAAATGCTCAATCGCATCCTTTTATTCACGACTATGTTGAGGAGATTTATCTAGCTGAAGGAGACTTGTACGACACTCAGCTTGGCCGTGGATGGACTGCTGGAGCATATGCGTACCGAAAGCCGGGGATGAAACACGGCCCGTTCAAGAGTGACAAAGGGTGCTTGATGTTTATTGTCTGCATACCAGTGAATGAGAGCGGGAATGAGCAGCGGGACTCGAAAAAATAATTCGAGATGGGCCGGAGTACATGCATTTGATGGTTGTCCTTCACTGCTGGATATCTGTGTCTGGATTAGCTTCATACTGTCTGAATTGATGTTTAGACTGGGAAAGAGACTAAGAGGGAAAATAACTGTGTCAAAAATAAGGACGTTGAAATAATAGTTCAGTGGGCAATGATTTCGGCGTTGCGATTGGGGACCTAGAGAATTTCACCGAGTCATAACCACCTACCCTGAAGCTAAAAATGTACCAATTTCCAGGCGGAGCTATGATGTTTCTTCCAAGCTTCCCTTCTACATACATCACACCCCACGTCGATCTTTCAGCTGCTTTACTGTCCAAATTTGGCCATAGACTTCAAGATGCCGCCGGTATGTCAGAAAACGCGTAGAGAGCCTGCCACGACAAACGCTATGTACAATGAAACTGACTCCGAATGCCACAGCGCCACCATACACTCCCCGCCGCCCAAACCTCGTCCGCGCGAGAGGCTCAGAAGTCCTTCTATTGCACGCTCTGCTCCAAGGGCTACTCCCGCATGAACGATTATGAGGCCCATCTATCCTCCTACGACCACTCCCACAAGCAGCGACTGCGCGACATGAAAGCAATGGTACGGGATCCCAACGCTTCCAGCCGAGCGCGCAAGGCCGAGGCCAAAGCCGATGGGATTGTCAGCATCAAGATGCCGCAAGACGGCTCTGGGTCGACAACCTCTGGTGGAGGCTTCAAGAAGGGAGGTTTCAAAAAGAGTGGTTTCAAGAGCGCCTTCGCACCCGTCGAGGACTCCAATGCAGCGCCTCGAGACAACAACGCGAGCAAGCCCGCCCAAAAAGTAGACATGCCAGGTAGACCTACGCTGGTGGAGAGCGATACCGAAGACGAAGGCTACGAGATGTACGATCCCCGATTCCCGACCGAATAAATTGGCATGCTCTGGGCAATGGCGACGAAGCTATTGTCATTATACGCACATGGTTTTCTATATTCCTCTACCTATATGGAACCTACTGGCGCGTCCAGCGGCTGCCGTCTATTTGAGAAAGGTCCTCCTCCAGAAGTCCGAATATGTTCTGGCTGCCAGCGAACCAGTCACCCGTGGGCTCCTGGCCAGACACCTGGCCCCCATGGGCCGCATTGCCTTGATTCATGGTATGGTCCTCATTTGGGATGAACCCGAGCTGGTTCAGATACATGTCGAACTCGTCCCCAATTGGGATCATGGTTTGGTCTTGCTGCTGTTGTGACTTGGCTTCGACATACACCGCCGCCACGTCGCGCATGACCTGGAACATGCGGTGGAGCTTCTCTGCCGACTCCGAGACGTCCCGCAGGGCCCCGAGCGATTCAACAAATTCGTGGAGAATCATTAGATCGGCACGCGATTGCGTCTCTATCACATAACAAAAAAGTATGAAGAAGGGGGCGAAGGGAATTAGCATTAGGCTCCTAGGAAGTTGTTAGCGCAGGAAGGAGGGTAGAACTTCCCTTCATGAAGGGGGAAAACCGACCAATGGACGTAGAGTGCTTTAAAGTATGGCCCATATCCCATCAGACCGATGCTCTCTTTATGAATATCCATTGCTTTTCTTGCCGATTCGAGGCATTTGTCACAGAAGCGACTGACGGAGTTCTCGGGGGCTGGGAGGGCTTGATAAACCAGTGTCAGAGTGACATGGAAACCGATCTCGTCGCCCTTGAGGAAGAAGGTGATGATCTCAGATGAATTGACCGAATTGAGGTAGGCAACAGTCTCATCTCGGGTGGATTTCAGCTGTACCTCCAGTCGTTCACACTCGGCCGCCAACTCCCTGGCTCTCCTAGCTAGCTCAGCTGGGTCGGATTGCAGAGCACCAGGGCTATATCTGTAAAGTGTTGGTCAGTCCATAGCCCAAAAGAAGATCTCGTCGTTCTGGAGCATACAGCTGTTCATATATGCGGCCTTGCAATGCGGCTGTCTGCACCCATAGGTCCGTGATGGGCGCGCCTTCTGGCAACTTGACGAAAGAGCCGAGGTCAAAGCTGCGCTCGATGCTAATATCGCATTCTTGGATAACGGAGGAGCGGCCAAGTCTGAGGCCCAGATTCTTGTCGATGGTATATATATTCCAGAACAGGGATGCCTTGACTTTCTTTATTTGAGGGGGATCGCCAGCAACACGCTCAGCGCGATGGAAGCCAGCCGTTTGGCAAAGTTGAGCGGCAGTCGAGTTCAAGTACCAGGCGACGGAAGGTCTGGATACATCAATGGAGTACTGGGCCTATAGAAAGGGTCAGCTACGTTGCTCATGCATTCTATCTTGAGATAAAACAGGCCATCCATCACGTTGCAAGTACTGACCCCGAGGATAAGAGCCTGGATGGTCTCGATCTTGGGAGAAAGAAAGAAGGGGAGATTGGCCAAAGCGGTCTCCATGTTAGCTTGACACAAGAGTCCATATGCCCGATACTCATCTTGATGGGCTTGATCCTTGGCGAGAGCTCCTTGTTCCACAAAGAGATTGTAGAGGCCAGCATTGACGACAATGAAATGGCAAAGTGAGATATCCTCGGTTGGAAAGTAGACCATGCGGCAAAGGCTATCGAAGTCTAGCAAGCCAGTAATATGGCAGACAAAATTGAAGAGGCTCATTGGGGTGTCTAAAAGTCTGTTGGCATCAAACTACCGGGCCACGAGGTTATGCTACTCAGTATGGAAATGCTTACTCTTTGCATCCTTGAGAAGCGGCACAACCACTTCGATTGGTGGCATGGGGAGTTTGGTCACGCCCCCGGCTGGAACTGGCTTCTGTAAAGGGAAGCGTGGCCCGTGGCTTACAGACTTTTGCTTCTGCATTTCGACAAGCTGGCCAAGAGTGGCGAGGGCCGCCTTGATCGACGGATCAGCCTCCCGGAGAGAGGTTCGCTGGACTGCATTCTCGAGAAACTCGCTGGCAAACGCTGTCTGTGCTGTAAGAGCGGAGTCGCCACCAAAAGCAGACTCATTATCACTCGAATCAATATCCCCTGACGAAGCAGTGGTGGGAATGCTACTGCCTGTTATCGGGGTTTGTGCCAAACTTCTGGAACCCGGATCAGTGGCAGGCTGGCTTTGTGTAGAGGCGATGTGCTTCAGGTAGGCTTCGATATTCTCGAGCCGACCCTCAATGCGGTCGATCTTCCGCTCACTAGATACAAAGAAATCGGGACTGGTGAGTGGCCAAGGAGAGGACATGGGTGGATGAACGAAAAAGGCGGATACATACTATTGAGAGGATATAAGAACTCGCTGCCGAGTCTCCTTTGGGCGCTGACCAGCGCCCGTTGATGTACATGACCGTTTGGCCATGCGGCAGTTGGAACATGGCCAATCTTTATCACATCGAATCTGCAAGGTAAGTAACAAAGGGATACACGTTAGTCACTTATTGCATATGGTCTCTGGTAGATGGGGTAGATCGATCATCACTCATACCTTTTTTAGGCGGCATTGGTCACACTAGGTGAGTATCAATGGTTAGCTCACCGATGTACTAGCTAGGAATGTAGTAAAGGGAAACCCTGCACAAAACGAAACCAAGAGTACATTGCGCCGGCCTTTCTTACTTGGGGGCGGGATCAGGACGTACAGCTCTTCGCGATGCGGCATCTTCGGGCCCCGCGGACCCATTCCCGGGATCGAGTCCCTGTTCGGTACTCTGCATGGCGGGTCTCCCAGCTACTGAATCAATCGTGGACGGTGAGCGAAAGCGGTTGTGTTTGGTTATTAGTCGATGCAAGACATATATGGTTGCACATGGGCGGTCGTGGGTGGGCCTGGGTGCTGTGTGCTTTTTGAGTTACTGAGACTGAGCTGTTCCGGAGTGAACGGCAAGCTCTAAGCCCCTCTCCCCTGGACGGTGTACTTGGAAATCCCGGCTGAGGTTATTTAGGCATGCATAGGTTTTACGGCATACAGAGCCGGACAGTGGATGCCTTGCCGCTTGCGTGGGAAGATAGGGCTGAGAACACTAATCAGCCTCCAAACAACGCAGCGCTATGACTGGTTTCACCTGTCCCCCATGAGCTATCTGGCAATGGTTAATCAGTGACGTCGAACACGTGAGGGGCTAGATGATGTCCGTAGTCTTGAGCTAACTAGCCATATGATAATGGGCAGAAACAATCAGATTAAGTTCTGACCAGTTAGAAACCACAGCGAGACAGGTGGGCGTATTGCTGGAGGCTCGAGCAGAGGTGATCACATCATTGCCAGACCAACTTACACAGGATGTGGTGAGAAAAGGGTGAAGTCCCACATGGAGTCCGCGGACACCGGAAAGGCTCAGCCACATTCAACACATGTGTGGCACCCATTGACAGTCGTGGCGGTGCATGGGACAGTCGACAGCAGAACACTACAGACGATGAGGTGTGAGGGATCTCTCGCCAATTAGGCGTCGATTGCTATGGGTGGGAGCACGCCTCCCTTTTCGTGCCTATAGAGTTCTTCGTAAGGGTTGCTTCCGCTACAGGGAGGAGCCAGTAGGAATGTACTCTCTTTGGAAGAGGACCGACTCTTACTTGGGTCTCCATTTGCCAATAGTTCACACGAGATTATTCTATAGTAGACATAGAAATCGTTAAATGCATAGTCTAGTGATGGTGTATGCAGTCTATCGGCTGCAAGCCGCTCTAGGCTTGTAATCAAGGTCTACCTAGGTCTAATAGAAACTCATGCCAGATTCTTGGCATCGCCGTCCTTCAGCTTACCAGCACCCACGAGCCTCTTGACCTCACCGCTCCAGACACCCTTGATCTCATCGGCAACCTTGAGACCGTTGAGCTTGCCAGCCAGGGCAGCAAGTTCTTCGTTGTCGATCTTGCCTTGGATCAGGTCAACATCACCGAGGACGGAATCAATCTGAGCAGCGGATGCCTCGCCAGCGCCGGCAAAGTAGTTGGCATCCTTGACGGAACCCTTGAGCACACGCTTGTTCTTCTTGGCAGCATTCTTGGCGTCTTCTTTGGCCTTCTTGGACGCATTTTTGTCGGCCTTGGCCTTCTCAGCCTCTGCCGCCTTGAGTTCTGCTTCACGCTGGGCCTGGGCTTTGGCAGCCTCCTCGGCCTCCTTCTCGGCCTTCTCCTTGGCGATGCGCTTGGCGTTCTTCTTTGCGTTGGCTTCTTGGCGGAACTTCTTGATACGCTCGTCGCCAGCAGAGGCATCGTCGAGTAGCTTGCGGAGGCGGGCATTGTCCTCGGCCTTCTTCTTCTTGCGGGCATTGGCGTTCTTGCGCTCTACGTGGCGCTTCTGGTCACGGTTCTCGTTGTCATCGGGAACATCCTCGTCAAGGTACTCGAAAGTACGCCAGCTGTCGAAGTTGTACCAGAAGTTGTAGAATTCTTCGACATGTTCCTGTGTAGAGTTGACATCACCAAATGTAGGAACAGGGTGTGTCTTGGAGAAGCGGCCCTCGGCCTTGAAGACCTTGGACCAGAGCTTGTAGTAGTTGCCAGACTTTTGCTCCTTCTTGGTAGGGGGGTCAACGTCAGCCTCCTCGTCGACTGAGTCGAACTGACGACGCTTGATAGGGTCCATAAGAATGTCGTTGGCCTTCTGGATGCACTTGAAGAACTGGTCGTCCTCTGTGCGTCCCTGGGCAGCCTTCTTATCGGGGTGGTGCTTGAGGACCTTCTTGCGATGAGCCTTCTTGATCTGTTCTTCGGTAGCCTTGAAGCGATACTTGGACAAGCCAAGAATCTTGTAATGATCCTGTGTCTGTACGAGATGATCTTGTCAGCCTCCACAATTCGCAACTGGAGGGGAAGCGGGGGGAACCAACCTTCCAGTCCTTGGCCTCGCGCTGGAGCATCATGGGGTCCTCGGGCTCGCTGATCTCTCCATCGTCGACGTCCTCGACGTTCTTGGCCTTCTCCTGGGCCTGGATGCGGTCATCCTCGGAAAAGGTGCGTCGGTGGCGGGCACGGCGGGCGTGGGCGAGGAAGTGAGGGCCGACGGGCTCGATGCTGCGTTCGACGGCTCCAGAGAGCTGGCCGAGAGACTTGAAGTCTTTCTCTCCAGTCCAGCCCTCGGGCAGGACGGGGAGTGGCAATGTGACAGTCGCAACGGAAGCCATCGTACCGTCGTTGGTATAATGCAATGCGATGGTGAGAAATCGCTGTGTGGTGATTTTTTTTTTTTTGGCTTACCTAGACACAATATTCCCCCACCCTCATACCCCACCCACTTTCCACACCCGTCTCCAACGCCTACCTAATTACCTACCAAACCGTATTTCACCAGAGTTGGTCTTCAACCATTGTCAAGAGTCCAATAATCTAAATGCAGGTTGCACTGTGCAATATTCCATTCTTTCTGTCTCATAGTGCTCGGGTCAAACTGGGTGCTTGGCCATCGTGGAGATTAGACGATGAAGGAATAAATGCCAGCGATTGGTACTAAAAATAGGTCACTAGAAATACTGCCTACAAGTTTAGAAAAGCCAGACTTCGCCGATAGCTTCATAGGTAGGTAAGTAGAACTCGAGATTCGCCTAAAATACCACCGTAGTAGGCATGATATAAGGAGGCCAATTGAGCTCATCGCCACTTCGATTACCAACTTTTGCGTCGAAATACTCCCACCTCCCCCCTAGTATACCTCAAAAGGTAATCAAGCATGCGTGAAACTGACAAATCCAAAAGTGATGAGGAAGATGAAATTTCATTTAACATACAGGGAAATCGCCGTGTGGGTTGTATATCCCTAAAAGTACGCGATCTTATATATATCTGACTATATTATGAATCTGTTAGCAGCTCGTAACTTGGACCAATCGAATCCATGTCACATCTTCCTCAATGGCAAGGCGAGTAGAGCGTCCAACCCAAAAATATCACTCTCTGGGAAATTGGAACATCGCGTATAGCCGATGAAAGGAAGATGCCAAAGTCCCTTTGTTCCTGCGAGAGCCATGTGGCAACTTGGGTGCTAAGGCGCGCAGCGCGATAGATGGAAGGGATCCTGGAGGCTTGGCTGGGTTTTGCATCATGAGCAAGGGATGGCTATTCGTCGAGAACCGAACACAACGTTGAAAAGGATTAAGCTTGTTTATGAGGCGACGGAACGTGCGCCTAGAAGCTGTCGCTTCTCATGCGCTGGAGATGGCACCATTCCGGTACTGCTATGCATATCGAATCAGTATAAATTGGACAGCTTGTCACCAGCTGGCAAGAGAGGCCTAGAATCTAGCAAGCATTTGACGAAGACAAGAAGTCCAATCGCAAAGATCAAGAGCCACAACATCATTCACTTATTCCACGGAAATACCCACCATGCTGTTCCCCAAACTCGCTATTTTTGCTTCCGTAGCCTCTCTGGCCACTGTTGCCGTTGCGGAAGAGACATACGACGAGGTAGTTGATGGCTACCGCTTCGTAAAATCTGGACCCAAGGAGCTCAAACCCAAAGACAACTACGAGCTCGAGTTTTCCCGGTTCACTCTCAACCTTCTCAAGACTAGAATCGGGGCAGACGGGCTCATCGAGCTCTTGCAACCTGATATCAAGGAGGCCGACGCCTTCTGGCACGATGTTGTTGATCGTTCCACGGACAAATGGGTTCCCACCGATGGCAGAGCCGTGGCTTTCCTCCCCAACCTGACCGCATACAGCTTCGCAGCCTGGAGCCAGAGCCCCTTCGCCGACAGATCCAACAATGCCGCCAACCCAGAGCACTATGTCAAGCGCACCACCAACCTCAATGGAACCCTCCAGTCCGAGATCTTGGAAGGCTGGGGCGGCGTCACAACCCATTTTTCCATCTCCGACTACAGCAGTCCTCCCAGCCGTGCCAAGCACCCGATGCTTCGTGAGCTGCCAGAGTTCCCCTTCCAAGCGGCGGGTGACAAGGTCCTTCGCGATGGCACAAACACCCGCTTTGGCGTGCTTCACATCTCTGCCCGCGATGTCCCTGGCGAAGAGTATGGCTCAGACATTCCAGGAGTCGATATTTACGCAACTGTCTGGTATGGAGATGGGGTCGAAGACGAGCATATCGAGGTCGAGCGCCAGCACATCACTGTTGAGATTATCAACCAGTCCATTCAGGCACAGAAAGATATCGCAAGTGGCGAATTTGTGCCTCCTGCCCTACCGTCGGTCCCTTCTTCCAGGAGATGGTTGGCATAAATCTGGGCTGAAGGCTGCTCATATGTACCATCTTGGTGATTGACATATGATGGCATTTCCATTTGGAAGAGTGCAATGTATAAATAGAGATATAGAATAGTGCTCCAAAGTAGATGGATAATGAGGGGGTTGCCAATGTTGAATTGCCATCTTTGCGGGTGTCGCGTGAATAGCTTCGAAGAAAACAATATCTAATGCCTTCGTCAACAAGGATCTATTATTGAGGTTGGAAGAATTGTCCCAGACGAGACTCTAGGTAGGTATCAACCCTTGCACAAGATGGGGACGAGACGGCGATCTGCAGGGCATTTTCCAGCCGTGGTACAAAGTGACCAGCCGGTGCGGGATCATGTAAGCCGAGCTGCAAAATCCAGCCCGCGCCGTTCATCCACATTTTCTTCCGCTCAACTACCGACCAACCTCGATCCATACCACCACAGCCTCGCTCAAGAGTTGCGAGAAAACGACACAATGGCTCTGGTAGCATACAGGCACCTGCTGCGTGCTGCAAGACTTGCATTCGAAGGTACAACCA